GATGGCGTCACCCTCATCCGCCACATATTTCATATCCTATCACCTAAGGAGGGGGTAATGTCATTTTCATTGAATAGAATTAATTTCTTCATTATCCTTTTATGTTATCACTTATCATTTATCAGTGGATTATTGCGAAAATAAACCAATAACTTTCCAAAAACTGCTTGGTGGAATCTTTCCTTTCCATAAACACCACAACTAGAGAAAATAGGTCTTTTTTATTAGGAGAGGAATGGTGACGTAAAAAAAGTATGATTTGTTTATATTTGATTGTTTCCTATGTAGCAAGAAGGGTTTTGCACATTATTCTATGGTAATTTTTAGCTCGCTATTAAGTTCAACTATGGTGACTTAAAGCTATTATGCTCTTAAATAAAATTTCAAACTTTTAAAGTGTTTTTATTTTAATGCAGGTCATATAAATATACTCCATATAAGCGAGAAGGAAATGGCTACTCGGAATGGTATTACTCAGCTTTAGTTCTCTTCTTTGGTGCTCTTATGTTATGATTTAGGTTCCATATAGTTCACTATATGACAAATCTCAGGCCATAATAGACGCCTAAGATTTTAGTTTGGCATTCTTCATGCCCAATAATTTTTTACTTATTTGTTGTTAATATATCTTTAGTAAACTTAACATGGCTCCTTACTTCTTGGGTGGAAGTGTTTTGAATTTTTAGGCCAGGTACCATTTTGAAGTTCTTTAGTAATTACACATAAAGCTACTGTTGGAGAAATATACTTTATAGTTATGTTACATATTCTTCACCAATTCATTTTTCTTAATCTCTCATGACATTCTAAATAAACACAGTTTTTGTAAGCAGCCAACGCAAAATGAAATTGGGGTTGTGCTGGGGTTTCGAGACTAGCATCGCCATGTTGGACAGTGTCACAACACTGAGATGAATGATGGATTTAGAGAAGTTCTAGCACCCTCTCCTTTCTTTTGTAATTTTTTTAATTTAGAGAATTTCATAAATTGGGTATGGATGGTTATTCACAGAGGATCCTTGCTTGGACCCTTTTTTGGACATAATTATATATTCTTTATTTTTATATTCAATAGAACTATATTGAAACAGTGAAGGAATAAGAAAGCATACATCTTGCACCCAAAAAGTGGACTACATATCCAAACAGGAAGATGCCTTGGTTAAAGATTTATTCTATTTAGACCATGTTCATATATGTCGTTTTGGCTAAAAGATTCCATCACGAGTTTAGATCAGGTTCATTATATGGTTAACTCATACTAGGTTCATAAACTTCATAAATGTCCCGGATTTTCCAATTAAAACCTACTGTATCTGCCTCTCCTCTTGCAGGCGTGTGACTTTTTAGGAAAGCATAAGGACATCATGGGTTATTGTAGTTGAGTTATTTCAGGT